GAAAAGTTGTTTGAATCAAAACAACTTTTCCAATAGAAATGGTGTTCGAATCGAAGCAACTTTTTCTATAGAAAAGTAGTTCGAATCGAAGCAACTTATTCTATAGAAAAGTTGTTCGAATCGAAGCAACTTATTCTATAGAAAAGTTTTTCAAATCAAAGCTACTTTTCCTATAGAAAAGTTTTCCAAATCAAAGCAACTTTTTCTATAGAAAAGTTTTCCAAATCAAAGCAATTTTTCCTATAGAAAAGTTGTTCAAATCAAAGCAACTTTTTCTATAGAAATGTTGTCCAAATCAAAGCAATTTTTCCTATAGAAAAGTTGTTCAAATTAAAGCAACTTTTTCTATAGAAATGTTGTCCAAATCGAAGCAACTTTTTTTTTATAGAAAAGTTGTCCAAATCGAAGCAACTTTTCCTATAGAAAAGATGTTCGAATCGAAGCAACTTTTCCTATAGAAAAGATGTTTGAATCGAAGCAACTTTTCCTAAAGAAAATATGTTCGAATCGAAGCAACTTTTCCTAAAGAAAAGATGTTCGAATCGAAACAACTTTTCCTAAAGAAAATATGTTCGAATCGAAGCTACTTTTCTTATAGAAAAGATGTTCGAATCGTAGCAACTTTTCCTATAAAAAAATTGTCCACCTTTAATTTCTTCGAAAATCGTCCAAAGCTTTAAAAAAATAGTTACCTGAAAGCCACAATAGCGGTATCACCCAATTCTTCAATGCAGACCTTGTCGCAGTAACCCAATTCTTCCTGGCTGGGAGTGGTAATGCGTGGCAAAACAGTACCATTGACAGCACGAGCCAAACGTCTCAAATCGAATTTGGAATTCAAACGGACAGCCATCAAATTGTATTTGTTAAGGAAATGTAAAGCCATATCACCAACTTTACCACCAGAAACCACAACCTTGGCACCAGTATCGGCAATAGCCTTAATTTGATTCTCCAACAAGTTTTCTTCGCCTGCTGAGAAGTTCATAAGTTCATCGGCGGATTTGATTAAGACAGTACCCTTGGTTTCAGTCTGTATAATATCAACGGGGCAGGAGAAGATGGCAATTTTAGCCTTTTCAGCATAGGAAACATCACCCTCAACGAAACGTTTGAAAACCATGCCGTGCACTACTTCGGACTTGGCCAAGCCACTACCCAAGATTTTGCAAACACGGATGTTGTCTACATTGAAGGTGCCCTTATCGGGTAAGATGGACACGCAAGCTTTGGCCACCAAATCGGTAATGAAATCTTCTTGACCATATTGTTTGGACATAATACAGGCACGCAAGCATTCCTTAACTTGTGACAAATCACGATAATCCTTAATTTCATGACACACCAATTTGGGTAAAATTTCCAAAGCCTTCTCCATGGCCTTTTCATAGCCATCGGCTATTTCGGCGGTGGTAATGCCCAAGCGCAAAAGTTCTTCGGCTCTTTCCAATAAAGCGCCGGCAAAAATCACCACAAAGTTGGTGCCATCACCGACCTCAGCGTCTTGCATTTCACTGGCCATGACCATAAGTTTGGCGGCTGGATGTTCAACATCCAATTCACGCATAATAGTGCCGGCATCACTGGTCACGAATTGTTTTTCAATGTAATTGATGATCATTTTGTTCATGCCATTGGGTCCATAGGCGGAGCGCATGGTTTGGGCAAATTCTTTGCAGGCGGTAATATTACGATAGACAGCCTCTTCCAAGCCACTGTACATCTGTTATAAAGTAAATCATCATTTAATAACACCAACAATAACATTTTCATTTATTTTAAGCAAGAAAATTTAATAATTTCCACAAATGTTAAACTTTTTTAGTCAAAACCCCTCAACCCGTGATGAGTCAGTTTTGTCTATCGCGTTTTTTTCATTCTGCTCTGCAGCTGTTCGTTTAACACTACCGCATGACAGCATTTTTGTGTTTTTTATTAAATTTTCTTAGAAATTCTCCATAAAATTTGGAAATTTCTTTTAAAATATGTGGGTTTTACTTACACGGGCTCCTTCCTTCATCATTTGGGCTACGCCGGGTGCTTTGGGTACAGATAAAGCCATTTTTTTGCACAGATTTTTTTTTGTTCTCCTTAACACAAATTTATCAAACCGTCCAAATGAAAATTCTCAACAAGACAAGAAATAACAATAAAAAAATTAACCTCACTTCTTGTCAAAGCCGCCTACGGTTACTTTTTACTCGCTAATTGCTGGTTAACCAGAGAGTGAATGATTACTTTCTCGAAGGTTTTTTTTGTTGTTCTTTTAACGAAAGAGCTGCCAGATGGGGGCAATTTATAAAATAGCGAAAAAAGTAGCTACTTTTTTACGTTAAATAAAATGTGATTATTTTATTAAACAAATTAAACAAAATAATTTAAAAATTTAATGAATTAAAAAATAAAATATTTAAAAAATAGTTTCGTTCTGTTCTATTCTAGTTCTGTTCTAATTCTGTTCTAGTTCTGTTCTAGTTCTGTTCTAGTTCTGTTCTAGTTCTATTCTAGTTCTGTTCTAGTTCTGTTCTAGTTTTGTTCTAGTTCTGTTCTTGTTCTGTTCTAGTTCTGTTCTAGTTCTGTTCTAGTTCTGTTCTAGTTTCTGTTCTAGTTCTGTTCTAGTCTCTGTTCTAGTTCTGTTCTAGTTCTGTTCTAGTTCTGTTCTAGTTCTAGTTCTGTTCTAGTTCTGTTCTAGTTCTGTTCTAGTTCTGTTCTAGTTCTGTTCTTGTTCTGTTCTAGTTCTGTTCTACTTCTGTTCTAGTTCTGTTCTAGTTCTGTTCTAGTTCTTTCTAGTTCTGTTCTAGTTCTCTGTTCTAGTTCTGTTCTAGTTCTGTTCTAGTTCTGTTCTAGTTCTGTTCTAGTTCTGTCTAGTTCTGTTCTAGTTCTGTTCTATTCTGTCTAGTTCTGTTCTAGTTCTGTTCTAGTTCTGTTCTAGTTCTGTTCTAGTTCTGTTCTAGTTCTGTTCTAGTTCTGTTCTAGTTCGGTTCTAGTTCTGTTCTAGTTCTGTTCTGTTCTGTTCTAGTTCTGTTCTAGTTTCTGTTCTAGTTCTGTTCTAGTTCTGTTCTAGTTCTGTTCTAGTTCTGTTCTAGTTCTGTTCTAGTTCTGTTCTAGTTCTGTTCTAGTTCTGTTCTAGTTCTGTTCTAGTTCTGTTCTTTCTAGTTCTGTTCTAGTTCTGTTCTAGTTCTGTTCTAGTTCTGTTCTAGTTCTGTTCTAGTTCTGTTCTAGTTCTGTTCTAGTTCTGTGCTAGTTCTGTTCTAGTTCTGTTCTAGTTCTGTTCTAGTTCTAATTCTGTTCTAGTTCTGTTCTAGTTCTGTTCTAGTTCTGTTCTAGTTCTGTTCTAGTTCTGTTCTAGTTCTGTTCTAGTTCTGTTCTAGTTCTGTTCTAGTTCTGTTCTAGTCTGTTCTAGTTCTGTTCTAGTTCTGTTCTAGTTCTGTTTCTAGTTCTGTTCTAGTTCTGTTCTAGTTCTGTTCTAGTTCTGTTCTAGTTCTGTTCTAGTTCTGTTCTAGTTCTTCTGTTCTAGTTCTGTTCTAGTTCTGTTCTAGTTCTGTTCTAGTTCTGTTCTAGTTCTGTTCTAGTTCTGTTTTAGTTCTGTTCTAGTTCTGTTCTAGTTCGTTCTAGTTCTGTTCTAGTTCTGTTCTAGTTATGTTCTAGTTCTGTTCTAGTTCTGTTCTAGTTCTGTTCTAGTTCTGTTCTAGTTCTGTTCTAGTTCTGTTCTAGTTATGTTCTAGTTCTGTTCTAGTTCTGTTCTGTTCTAGTTCTGTTCTAGTTCTGTTCTAGTTCTGTTCTAGTTCTGTTCTAGTTCTGTTCTAGTTCTGTTCTAGTTCTGTTCTAGTTCTGTTCTAGTTCTGTTCTAGTTCTGTTCTAGTTCTGTTCTAGTTCTGTTCTAGTTCTGTTCTAGTTCTGTTCTAGTTTTGTTCTAGTTCTGTTCTTTTCTGTTCTAGTTCTGTTCTAGTTCTGTTCTAGTTCTGTTCTAGTTATGTTCTAGTTCTGTTCTAGTTCTGTTCTAGTTCTGTTCTAGTTCTGTTCTAGTTCTGTTCTAGTTCTGTTCTAGTTCTGTTCTAGTTCTGTTCTAGTTCTGTTCTAGTTCTGTTCTAGTTCTGTTCTAGTTCTGTTCTAGTTCTGTTCTAGTTCTGTTCTTGTTCTGTTCTAGTTCTGTTCTATTCTGTTCTAGTTCTGTTCTAGTTCTGTTCTAGTTCTGTTCTAGTTCTGTTCTAGTTCTTTCTAGTTCTAATTCTGTTCTAGTTCTGTTCTAGTTCTGTTCTAGTTCTGTTCTAGTTCTGTTCTAGTCTGTTCTAGTTCTGTTCTAGTTCTGTTCTAGTTCTGTTCTAGTTCTGTTCTAGTCTGTTCTAGTTCTGTTCTAGTTCTGTTCTAGTTCTGTTCTAGTTCTGTTCTAGTTTTGTTCTAGTTCTGTTCTAGTTCTGTTCTAGTTCTGTTCTAGTTCTGTTCTAGTTCTGTTCTAGTTCTGTTCTAGTTCTGTTCTAGTTCTGTTCTAGTTTCTGTTCTAGTTCTGTTCTAGTTCTGTTCTAGTTCTGTTCTAGTTCTGTTATAGTTCTGTTCTAGTTCTGTTCTAGTTCTGTTCTAGTTCTGTTCTAGTTCTGTTCTAGTTCTGTTCTAGTTCTGTTCTAGTTCTGTTCTAGTTCTGTTCTAGTTCAGTTCTAGTCCTGTTCTAGTTCTGTTCTAGTTCTGTTCTAGTTCAGTTCTAGTTCAGTCTTCAGTTTTCTTTTGCTATAGAAACAGGAATTTACTTTTATTCCTACCCAATGTATAATTACAGAGTTGTATTTGCTTGTTATTTTTAATACAAGGTGGCCATATTTTTACTTTTAGCTAAGTGTGGCTAACTTTTTATTGATTTTTTTTTCACGCCAATTATAGTTATCACTGTTGAATTGATAAAGAAAATACATAAATTATAATTATATTAAAGGTAAGTTAAATACCAGTAATAATTTATTATAAAAAAATGGTATAAATTAATAAAAAACTATTTTACAGTGTTTCGCAAGAAAAACTAATTTTCTATTGCCTAATTTAAGGCTTTCAAAAGATACAAGTGCCCAAATTGCTGTGTATTTTCCCACCTCTAATTCATTTTCTTAAGGCCTGTTGCATATTTTTTAACAGTCACTTTGAAGTCCCTAAGCAGCAACATAGGGCTCGCCGAGACCGCTCTATTGGACATCATGGCTGCCAATATACAACAGCAGCGCTTAATTAATGAACAATTAAGACGCGAGGTGGAAATATCAAGAGCCCGTGTCTCCGACTCCTGTATGTTAATGATGAAATACATGTCGGAACATGAAAATGAAGATTGTCTACTAACCGGTTTTACTAGTCAAAAGTTGAATCCTTTTAGGGAAAAAAGTTCCTGTAGTGTTTTGTAAATTGCCCGATTGAATTGATATGAAAAAAAAAACTTAACAGTTCCTAACACTTCTATTAACGGATTTTTGAAAAACACACACACACACAAACATATAACATGGAACTCAATTATTTATTGGTAGTATTATATACATACATATTAAAAACATATACATACATATTAATATAATTATATAGAAAAAGTATATGCTTACTAGGCATTTCCGAAAACTCACAGTATTGAAAACAACATGAATTTCAAAATAATACAAAATAAATCACTATTCAACCGTCTATTGTTATATACAATTATATGAAAAAAAAAAACAAGAAAATGTTTTAAATAAAACAACAAAATATTTTATTAACTTGTAATTCCTGTTATATCAAGGGAAAGCTCTCTATTGGAGTATTATATAAATGTTAAATGGCATGATAACTGGATAACTAAAACTTTCTCTCTAGATGAAACTGAAATTGCATGCACTTAAACTGAATTATTAAAAAATACAAATAACAAAGTATCAAATAAATGTATTTGTTGTAGTATTAAAACAAAAAAAAAAAAAAAACTATATCAATGGAAACTTATAAATAAATTAAAGAAATTATAAACCATAACAAAATCTTGTTTTCTTTTAAGATATTTCATATAAGTTAAATCTGTTTTTTTTTCTTTATCTTGTGTGCGCTTGATGGATTTTGTAAACAAATACCACTCAAATGCATTTTGGTCGTTGCACCTTTATTAAGGATTGTTGAACAAAACTCAAGTTGGCAGAAATCACAGAGAAAACGAGGATGAAAAGAAAACATATAAAAACTATAAAATATAAGGGGTTCTCTAGGAAATCAGAAGAACAGAAGTAGAACAGAACTAGAAGTAGAACAGAATTAGAACAGAACTAGAACACATATAGAACAGAACTAGAACAGAATTAGAACAGAACTAGAACAGAACTAGAACAGAGCTAGAACAGAACTAGAACAGAACTAGAAACTAGAACAGAACTAGAACAGAACTAGAACAGAACTAGAACAGAACTAGAACAGAACTAGAACAGAACTAGAACAGAAACTAGAACAGAACTAGAACAGAACTAGAACAGAACTAGAACAGAACTAGAACAGAACTAGAACAGAACTAGAACAGAACTAGAACAGAACTAGAACAGAACTAGAACAGAACTAGAACAGAACTAGAACAGAACTAGAACAGAACTAGAACAGAACTAGAACAGAACTAGAACAGAACTAGAACACTAGAACAGAACGAACTAGAACAGAACTAGAACAGAACTAGAACAGAACTAGAACAGAACTAGAACAGAACTAGAACAGAACTAGAACAGAACTAGAACAGAACTAGAACAGAACTAGAACAGAACTAGAACAGAACTTGAACGGAACTAGAACGGAACTAGAACGGAACTAGAACAGAACTATACTAGACTATAGACTAGACTATAGACTAGACTATAGACTAGACTATAGACTAGACTATAGACTAGACTATAGACTAGACTATAGACTAGACTATAGACTAGACTATAGACTAGACTATAGACTAGACTAGATAGACTAGATATAGACTAGACTATAGACTAGACTATAGACTAGACTATAGACTAGACTATAGATAGACTATAGACTAGACTATAGACTAGACTATAGACTAGACTATAGACTAGACTATAGACTAGACTATAGACTAGACTAGACTAGACTATAGACTAGACTATAGACTAGACTATAGACTAGACTATAGACTAGACTATAGACTAGACTATAGACTAGACTATAGACTAGACTATAGACTAGACTATAGACTAGACTATAGACTAGACTATAGACTAGACTATAGACTAGACTATAGACTAGACTATAGACTAGACTATAGACTAGACTATAGACTAGACTATAGACTAGACTATAGACTAGACTATAGACTACTATAGACTAGACTATAGACTAGACTATAGACTAGACTATAGACTAGACTATAGACTAGACTATAGACTAGACTATAGAATAGACTATAGACTAGACTATAGACTAGACTAGACTATAGACTAGACTATAGACTAGACTATAGAATAGACTATAGACTAGACTATAGAATAGACTATAGACTAGACTATAGACTAGACTAGACTATAGACTAAACTATAGACTAGACTATAGACTAGACTATAGAGGCTATATACTAGACTATAGACTAGACTATAGACTAGACTATAGATTAGACTATAGACTAGACTATAGACTAGACTATAGACTAGACTATAGACTAGACTATAGACTAGACTATAGACTAGACTATAGACTAGACTATAGACTAGACTATAGACTAGACTATAGACGACTATAGACTAGACTATAGACTAGACTATAGACTAGACTATAGACTAGACTATAGACTAGACTATAGACTAGACTATAGACTAGACTATAGACTAGACTATAGACTAGACTATAGACTAGACTATAGACTAGACTATAGACTAGACTATAGACTAGACTATAGACTAGACTATAGACTAGACTATAGACTAGACTATAGACTAGACTATAGACTAGACTATAGACTAGACTATAGACTAGACTATAGACTAGACTATAGATTAGACTATAGACTAGACTATAGATTAGACTATAGACTAGACTATAGACTAGATTATAGACTAGACTATAGACTAGACTATAGACTAGACTATAGACTAGACTATAGACTAGACTATAGACTAGACTATAGACTAGACTATAGACTAGACTATAGACTAGACTATAGACTAGACTATAGACTAGACTATAGACTAGACTATAGACTAGACTATAGACTAGACTATAGACTAGACTATAGACTAGACTATAGACTAGACTATAGACTAGACTATAGACTAGACTATAGACTAGACTATAGACTAGACTATAGACTAGACTATAGACTAGACTATAGACTAGATAAGACTAGACTATAGACTAACTATAGACTAGACTATAGACTAGATAGACTAGACTATAGACTAGACTATAGACTAGACTATAGACTAGACTATAGACTAGACTATAGACTAGACTATAGACTAGACTATGACTAGACTATAGACTAGACTATAGACTAGACTATAGACTAGACTATAGACTAGACTATAGACTAGACTATAGACTAGACTATAGACTAGACTATAGAGACTATAGACTAGACTATAGACTAGACTATAGACTAGACTATAGACTAGACTATAGACTAGACTATAGACTAGACTATAGACTAGACTATAGACTAGACTATAGACTAGACTATAGACTAGACTATAGACTAGACTATAGACTAGATTATAGACTAGACTATAGACTAGACTATAGACTAGACTATAGACTAGACTATAGACTAGACTATAGACTAGACTATAGACTAGACTATAGACTAGACTATAGACTAGACTATAGACTAGACTATAGACTAGACTATAGACTAGACTATAGACTAGACTATAGACTAGACTATAGAATAGACTATAGAATAGACTATAGACTAGACTAGACTATAGACTAGACTAGACTATAGACTAAACTATAGACTAGACTATAGACTAGACTATAGACTAGGCTATATACGACTATAGACTAGACTATAGACTAGACTATAGATTAGACTATAGACTAGACTATAGACTAGACTATAGACTAGACTATAGACTAGACTATAGACTAGACTAGACTATAGACTAGACTATAGACTAGACTATAGACTAGACTATAGACTAGACTATAGACTAGACTATAGACTAGACTATAGACTAGACTATAGACTAGACTATAGACTAGACTATAGACTAGACTATAGACTAGACTATAGACTAGACTATAGACTAGACTATAGACTAGACTATAGACTAGACTATAGACTAGACTATAGACTAGACTATAGACTAGACTATAGACTAGACTATAGACTAGACTATAGACTAGACTATAGACTAGACTATAGACTAGACTATAGACTAGACTATAGACTAGACTATAGACTAGACTATAGACTAGACTATAGACTAGACTATAGACTAGACTATAGACTAGACTATAGATTAGACTATAGACTAGACTATAGATTAGACTATAGACTAGACTATAGACTAGACTATAGACTAGACTATAGACTAGACTATAGACTAGACTATAGTCTAATCTATAGTCTAGTCTAGACTATAGACTAGACTATAGACTAGACTATAGACTAGACTATAGACTAGACTATAGACTAGACTAGACTAGACTATAGACTAGACTATAGACTAGACTATAGACTAGACTATAGACTAGACTATAGACTAGACTATAGACTAGACTATAGACTAGACTATAGACTAGACTATAGACTAGACTATAGACTAGACTATAGACTAGACTATAGACTAGACTATAGACTAGACTATAGACTAGACTATAGACTAGACTATAGACTAGACTATAGACTAGACTATAGACTAGACTATAGACTAGACTATAGACTAGACTATAGACTAGACTATAGACTAGACTATAGACTAGACTATAGACTAGACTATAGACTAGACTATAGACTAGACTAGACTAGACTATAGACTAGACTATAGACTAGACTATAGACTAGACTATAGACTAGACTATAGACTAGACTATAGACTAGACTATAGACTAGACTATAGACTAGACTATAGACTAGACTATAGACTAGACTATAGACTAGACTATAGACTAGACTATAGACTAGACTAAGACTAGACTTATAGACTAGACTATAGACTAGACTATAGACTAGACTATAGACTAGACTATAGACTAGGACTATAGACTAGACTATAGACTAGACTATAGACTAGACTATAGACATAGGACTATAGACAGACTATAGACAGCTAGACTAGACTATAGACTAGACATGACTAGACTATAGACTAGACTTAGACTAGCTATAGACTAGACTAAGACTAGACATAGCGATACTAAGACTAGACTATAGACTAGACTATAGACTAGACTATAGACTAGACTATAGACTAGACTAGGACTAGACTATAGACTAGACTATAGACTAGACTATAGACTAGACTATAGACTATACTATAGACTAGACTAATAGACTAGACTATAGACTAGACTATAGACTAGACTATAAGACTAGACTACTTAGACTAGACTATAGACTAGACTATAGACTAGACTATAGACTAGACTATAGACTAGACTATGACTAGACTATAGACTAGACTATAGACTAGACTATAGACTAGACTATAGACTAGACTATAGACTAGACTATAGACTAGACTATAGACTAGACTATAGACTAGACTATAGACTAGACTATAGACTAGACTATAGACTAGACTATAGACTAGACTATAGACTAGACTATAGACTAGACTATAGACTAGACTATAGACTAGACTATAGACTAGACTATAGACTAGACTATAGACTAGACTATAGACTAGACTATAGACTAGACTATAGACTAGACTATAGACTAGACTAGACTAGACTAGACTAGACTATAGACTAGACTATAGACTAGAGTATAGATTAGACTATAG